TTTTTTTTTTTTTTGGCTTTTGGTTTTTTGAGACAGGATCTCCATGTGTAGTTAGGCTGGTCTTGGACTCCCTATGTCGCCCAGGCTGGCCTTGAACTCACGGAGACCCTCCTGCCTCAGCCTCCAGAGGGCAGAAAATGACAGGCGTGGGCCACCAGGCCCGGCAGCTTCTTCACTTGCCCTGCGGCAGTGCTCCCGAGATGGGACACTGAGTCCCACCCTCTCTGCCATCTGAGACCTCGCTGTCCCCGCGGGCCAGCCCCCAGCCCCGGCTCAGAAAGGCACAGCGTGGTGTCCGGCCTGGGGCCTCTGACTCAGTTTCCCTTCCTGCCGCAGGTGAACCTGGGCCTGCTGCTGCTCTCGCTGCTGGGCTTCCTGCTGCCCGCCTACCTCTTCTGCTACCGAGCGCGGGTCCACAGGGAGCTGGCGTCGGCCTGAGGTCGGCCAGGCCCGAGGCGGGGCGCGCGGCCCTGGGAGCTCTCTCTGGGCGCGGGACTAGGAGGGGAGGGGCTGGGCCAGGGGAGGGGCTGGGCCGGCGGAAGCGAGCAGAGCGGAGCCGTGTTTGTCGCGGCGCTGCCGAGCGAACAGATGGCTGCGGAGGAGGAGGGGTGCGGGGGCCGGAGGATGAGGAACGAGGAATCTGACGCCCGAGTCTCCCAGGAGAAACCCCCTCCCCATCTCCCCCGTCGTGTGGGGCGGGCCAGCGCGGGCTTCCTCCAGACCCCTCGCGCTCCACCGCGGCCCGTGCTCCCGGGGTTGATGCCACCGGGAGCCGCCGGGTCGCAGGGGTTCACGGGGCTAAGGGGGCGGCGGGAAGCGGGCTCGGGCTGGGAGCGAGTTCAGGGATCGCAAATAGCAAAGGGAAAATGTGTTAATTGGAACTTTATGCAGATGAGCTGGGACGGGGCTGGGAGTGAGTAGGTCAGAAGGACGAGGACCGCTGGGTGGCCGGGCGGGGCAGTGACAGGCGGACCCCGCCCCGGAAGGGGGTGACCGCCCGGGGCCCCAGCACCCGGGCTTCGCGTCACCCCCCCACCGTCCGCCCCACGCGGCCTAGGCCGCCACGCCCGAGACCTGCCGGCTACGTCCACCGAGACGCCCGAGCCCACTCCTCCCCCAAGGCCACCGCAGCTTTGGGGCCACCGACCCCGTCCCCAGCTCGGGGTGGCACTGGGCACGGGACAGGAGAGGGGAGTGGGGGCCGGGGAGGGAGACAGACAAGAATCCCAGCGTTTGGGAGGCTGAGGCAGGAAGGTCCCCACAAGTTCGAGGCCAGCCTGGGCTACACAGCGAGACCACGTCTCAAAAAGCAAATAGAGGGCTGGGGATTTAGCTCAGTGGTTTCGTCGCCTGCCGCGCAAGCGCAAGGACCCGAGTTCGATCCCCGGTACCAAGAAAAAAAACCCCAAATAGAAAACCGAACTCCTGGAAGATCAGAGGGGGAGGCCACGCGGCTGAGGCCGTGGGAGGATCACCAGGTCTCCTCGGGAGCCCGGGGTAGCGTGCGGGCCACCTGCTGCCTGCTGGCCCCTGGCGGCGCACACGGCCGTGCCGCGTCGGGTTTCGAGCCCTCCGATGGCCTGGCCGTGGCATTAAAGATGCATGGACAACCTGAGCCTCCGGCCCCGAGCCCACGGCGCGCTGTGGCCTGAGCAGCTTAGGCCTAGGGCGGTATCTGGCGCCCATACCGGCGACGGCCGCCCAGAGGCGGCCGAGGGGGCAGCGGTTCCCCGCGTGGCGGCAGGAGGCGCAGGGGCATCGGGGGCCGAGGTGGGGTGGGGGGACCTCGAGTCCGCACCGCGGGGCAGCCGGGCCCGGCCGGGATCGGGGGCCGAGGCCCAGGAGAGGCCTCGCGGTTTAGGGAGACTGGGCGGCACCCGCAGGATGTGCGCGGAGTCGGGGAGCGGAGGCACAACACTGCAGCCGGAGAGGAGGCCCCGCGTGCCCCCCCGGCCGTTTCCCCTCCACCCGTGGGCATAAGGAGCCACGGCGGGTTCTGGAGCGACACCATACACGCGCGTTTTGGTGCCGTGGATATGGCCGCGGCAGGCTGGCGGAGGGGGGGCAGGGGCCCGATGAGGAAACCCCGTGGAGATCACAGCCACTGTCCTGCGGCAGGCAGGCATACGGTAGCGAGCAGGAGCCAGGGAATGGGAAGCCCGGCAGCGGCCGTGAGCGCCGTGGAGGACACGGGGAGGAGGGGGAGGAGGGGCGGCGGCCCCGGCCCGGAGTCTGGCAGCGGCGCGCGGGGGCGGGGG